AAATATGTGTGTATATATACATATATATGTGTATATATAAATGTGTGTATATATAAATATGTGTGTATATATATATATGTGTGCACATATATATATATATATATATATATATATATATATATATATATATATATATATGTATTATATTGATTTTTTTTTAACACCAACACTATATTTGCAATATATTATATTTATATTTATATATATATATATATATATATATGAGAGTCTGATGAAGTCCTAATTGCTGAAATGCATCACAAGTAAACTTTTTCATTGTCTTACAATTTCCTCAATGCATATATATATATATATATATATATATATTGGGGTGGGTATAAAAAAAAAAATTCACCTCTTCATATCTTTCCTATGCTTCCTGTTGCCTTGTACTTCCCTCCTTTCTCTCTCTTTCCATAAATATTTACATGCATATATATATAAATATATATATATATATACCTACATTTGGAGTGTGACTTAAGTTTTGTTGTTTTACCAACTGATCAGGCACAAAACATGATTTTAAAAAAATAATTTTCACCATACAGGAAAGTCTATCATGCATAAAATAGGGAGTTACTTTTCAATTATGCTGCATATGTATGTATATATATTTGTGTATTTAGGGAGCAAATTCTCTTTTAGACATGTTTGATTGAATAAATTACAGACATTATGTCTTCTAATTTTTAACAAGATCCTTTCATACTCACGAATAACCTTGCGTGAATTGATGTTAAAGGATGAGAGAAATGTGCTAAAGCTGTTTAAATTTCTTTTATTTTAATTTCCCAAGTACTTTCGATCTTCTTCCAAGATCATCTTCAGGGGTGGAAGTGGTACAAAACTATATGTTGTTCACTAGTATAAGTATTTAAATAAAGATGTGCATTGTTATCCATTACCATAATTTTTTCACTATGCTTTTAAATGCAAAACTGTTGACAATGTGCTGAGCATTCACTAGAACTTAAGAAAATTATCCATTATGGAATAATGCACGTGTGCATTAAAGTGTGAAAAAACTGTTCCTTTCCTGGCATTTCAGAACATTACTGCAGTATTCATAGTTGATTCTGTTCAGTGTCAGCTTTAATTTAATAAATATACATATACCTACATTCGGAGTGCGACTTAAGTTTCGTTGTTTTACCAACTCATCAGACACAAAATATGATTTAAAAATAAAATAATATACTGGGTCTCATGGGAGGTACACTAAATTACACACGGATTCACAGCTCAAATTTAAAATAAGTTAAATATAATATTGTGTAAATACAGAAAATAGGGTGTAGGCAGGGGTTCATTATAAACAAAAAAAAATTAAAAGCAAGTTAAAAGTTTGTTGTCAAGTTTTTTGAATTCTCATATACTTGTATTTTAATTGGTCATGTAACAGCGTTTCCCCTAACGAGGGTTTTTTGATTGATTTGAACCTTTTAAAACCCTTTATTATACATTCAACATCATCACTTGATAAGACACCAGAAGTGTTGAAACAAAATGGCTATTTTTGTAGTGATTTTATAACATATTTATGTTATAATTTTCAAATAAATAATTACATATATATATAATTATTTATTTGAAAATTATATATATATATATATATATATATATATATATATATATATATATATATATATATACATTCATGGACTCTCCTGTTATAGATTGACACAGGCTGTTGACCTGCACCAACCAGGCTAGGTGGCGGAAGGAAGTGAGAACTCCCCACCAGACCACTTTTGCTGTGATAACTCACCCTATGACGTATAAGGGTCAGGCCACTCAGTTCCTTAGAACCGACAGCCAGACACCTGCACATATGATTTGATTATAGTGGTGAAGGTTTTTGTGCAGAATCAGTCACATTTTTTGAAGATCCGAATACAGAGACCTTGTGCGCCAAACGACCCTCCTTAGGGTTTGAATTCAGAGTTATCCTTCTCCTAGACCAGTTGCCATCCAAGGCTATAGAACCCTGTCTGTCCTGCTATTTACCGAAAACTGGGGGGAGAAGAAGCAGATTCTTTCCTTTCCAAAGGGTATTAGCACGTAATTGAATGTAACAGATTTGACTGGAATTCAAATTTGGCTCTCCGATTCCTCAATCCAAGCAGCTATCCATTACTCCACCATGCTTCCGATATAATATAATATAATGTAATATTATATATATATATATATATATATATATATATATACATTAAGAATTGGACAAAGTCCGACAATTTATTAAAGACATTTTTATGTTTAACTTTAATACTTGTATCTATAAAAAGAATGTTAAACATAAAAATGTCTTTATATATATATATATATATATATATATATAATATATGTAGGCCTTTGTGTTGAGTCTGAGGCCCTATGGGAAGATGAATGGAGACAAAGTTGCCATCACTAGTGATCACTCTAAACACCTTCATAATCACCATTAGACTCATCCAACTCTTTCTGAATCCTCTGCAATATCCTCAGATTGACACCCAAACCCTCTGAAATGTTTGTATTGGAGCTTCCAAGCGCAAATGCCAAGCATTACATCATGCCGTCTCTAAATTTCTGGTGACATGAATTGTCTCATGCTCTTTTTCTCACAGATGGTGCCCAACTGACCCCACTATACTGTGCAGTTGACAAAATGAAAACCAAGCAACGTGCGTGCGAGGGATTAAAAATATAAAACGGCGACAATTTATCCATCGCACCCTGTATTTCTTCATTACTATGAACGTTATTTGTAGTGGGTACTTGTATTTGAATTTTTTTTTTTTTTAATTTTTTTTTAATTTTAATGAAAGTAATGATAACTAACGTAAGTATCTTTTCTGCAAATATTTTCATGGCCACTTCTCCTAGAAGCTTTTTTTTTTTTTCCTGTTGCCCTGACTACATGAATTTAAGTGTGCAACTATGTCCCGCCCTTTTACTGTTGAAATAGCGAACCTCCATTTCAACTCCAATAGTTCCTTTTCTCGTACTTCCCACCTGTGGGACCCCTTTCTGATTTCTTGCTTCCCTGATAACTACAATCTTAAAAAAATTTAAATGCAACTTTAATTGCCATCTTCTGTCTTCTTGAATCACGTTCATCTTTTCTCCTTTCCTCAATCCTCCCTATTCTCAGTCTTCTCTTTCACTCCTTGTAATAATGTCATTACTACTTTGCTTGCGGTTGAAATGATTAAAAAAAATTATCGGATAAGAAATCCATTCAAATATATATATATATATATAATGTATATTGTTTTTTTTTACACAATTGCTCACCAAATATAAGGCCAAAGAGCCACTCAAGGTAGAAGGTTACTGACTGGAGATGCTGTCAGGGCATACAGAGACACTGTTGTATATTAAACAGATATATAGGATAGATAATGATAAAGATAGATTGTTTTTGACCCTCAACTTTAAGTAGGTAACATTGTAGTGATCATGGAAATATACCCTTGGATGTTCATTCCTCATGGCAACAGTTTTTATGGTGTGACCTTGAGTCCCAATAGAAATCCTAGGCAAGGAGCCTCCCTGAGCGTACAGCAGTTCTTTATGATTGGTGAAAACATGGGGGTCTGCTCTGTGGTGAAATGTTACTAGCTTCGTTTTTGGGGCCTATTGAATGTTTACAGGCAAAATAAATTTTTGCTATAATATTAATGATTCAATCTGAAGGGAGATGAGTCAGCATTTGTGAATATTGACAGCATGGACGTAGGAATCAACACTGCATAGTGACTGTCAGTTTCATGTTGCAATGGGATCTCTATATCTGAATATCACATTGAAGTGAGAAACTGACAGTCAACATGCAGTGTCGATTCCTATGTCTCCTCTCTCTGTTGCTTTCTCTGTGTATCTCTTGCTTCCCTCTCTCTCTCTCTCTTTCTCACTATATATATATATATATAGATACACCTAGTGAGCCAAACAAACCTACCTAGGTTTCACCTAAACGGATCATCAGGGAAAGTAAGCCTTATCTAGGTGTATCTAGGTCTGCTGACGATTGTATTGAGCTTTTTGTTAGTTAGTTGTTTACCGTATCGGGTTTTTTCTTTGGGCTTCAGACCTGTATCTATATATTTTTTTCTCGGCAGAAGTTCATGTTTGTAGCTCTTTCTTTTTTTTTAAAACCTTTTTTTTCTCTCGAGATTGATTTGATTATTTTAAATCAAAATTCAAGGGTTTTTCAAAACTATTAGTCTAGTTATCTATAATTTCTTGTATATATATATATATATATATATATATATGTATGTATTATAATGCATAAAAGGTTAATGGTCAGAGTTGAATCAGACCAGGAAATTAGTATTAAAAAGTGCTCAATACACGTGTGTATGAACACTATTTTTTATTTATTTATTTTTTAAAATAAATAAAGCATTGGGAGATCAGTTGATAAAAGTCGCCTGAGGATACCATAAGGTTAAAACCAAGGTAGCAGACTCAACTGATCTCTGAAATTTTAATATATATATATATATATATATATATATATATATATATATATATAACAACAAAAAAAAAAGACAAAAATGTGATCAACCAAAGCAACTCCGGAAGATAATCCATCCAAGGCAAACAGTCGTTGCAAATACAAATTAAAAGAAATATTTTATTTTATTAATAATAATTATTCTTTGGATGCATAATGAGGAAAGAGGGCTTGGAAAACTTAATCCTCACAGGGCATATTGAGGGCAAGAGAGATAGGGGAAATCATTGAGCCACTTACCTGGCGAGCTTGTGTGAATGGGTGGTGGAATGGGAGGGATAGAGGCCTTAGCAAAAGGGAGAAAAACTTCTAAGGGACGCAAGAAATAGGAAGTTGTGGAGAGCCATAATTTTCTATATCCTGAAGGGATGAGGCACATAGAAGAATAATAATTATATTACCACACTCTCACAGAAAGTTACTGACATTTAAGATATTTATTGGGTTGGCCCAAATGTTTGCTTATTAAGTAAATTTCCTTCATAAACAGAATGAACGATTTGGTCCACCAACAATTTTTTCTTTTTTCTCTCTGACACTCTCTCTCTCTCCTTTCTCTCTCTCTCTCTCTCTTTTCCTTTCCTTTCCTTCTCTCTCCACTCTCTTTCTTTTCTTACTCTTTTTCTCTGTCTTTCCTCTCTCTCTCACTCTCTTCCATTCTCAATCTCTTCCTTTCTTTCTCTCACCTCTCTCTTCTTTTCTTTTTCGTTCTCTCGCTCTCCATTTCTTTCTTTCTCCCTCTCTCTCTCTCTCTCTCTCTCTCTCTCTCTCTCTCCCTCTCTCTTCTTTTCTTTCTCTTTTCTCTCTGCCTTTCCTCTCTCTCTTTCTTCTTTCTTTTTCTCTTCCTTTCTCTCTCTCTCACTCTCTTCCTTTCTTTCTCTCACCTCTTTCTCTCTCCCTCTCCCCCTCTCTTTTCTTTTTCTTTTTCTCGCTCTCCATCTCTTTCTTCCTTTCTCTCTCTCTTCCTTTCTCTCTCTCTCACTCTCTTCCTTTCTTTCTCTCACCTCTCTCTTCTTTTCTCTCTCTTTCTCTCCATCCCTCTCTCTCTCTATTTTTCTTTCTCTTTTCTCTCTGTCTCTCCTCTCTCTGTTTTTTCTCTCTGTCCTTCTCTTCCTTTCTCCCTGTCTCTCCCTCTCTCTCTCTGATACACATTCACACACCCTTTGTAGCCTGGTTTCACCCACTTTTGGAACGGGTTCTCTTTCGCAGTAAAAAATAAAATAAAAAATTCCATTAAATTATGTCTTAGTTGGAGAAAAAAATCCATTTTTATTGAGTTCAGAATTATTTAAAACAAAATAATCCTTATTGTTTCTTTTTGGAAGTACTTAACTTTTTAAAGTAATTTTTTTTTTTTTTAGAGTACCGTACTCCTATAATTGCTTTTGTTTGTTTCACTTGATTGTTGTTTTCCTTTTGAGAAAATTTTTTCTAATATTTGAATATTTATTTTTTTTTTTTTGTGAAATTCATTTTTTTTTTTAATTTTTATAAGTGATTTTAGAAAGGAAAAGAGAATATAGAGAGCCTGTATATTTTTCTTTTTCTTTTATGTGTGTGTGTGTGTGTATATTTTTCTTTTTCTTTTATGTGTGTGTGTGTGTATATTTTTCTTTTTCTTTTATGTGTGTGTGTGTGTATATTTTTCTTTTTCTTTTATGTGTGTGTGTGTATATTTTTCTTTTATGTGTGTGTGTGTATATTTTTCTTTTTCTTTTATGTGTGTGTGTGTGTATATTTTTCTTTTTCTTTTATGTGTGTGTGTGTGTACGTGTGTGCACTTTTTTTTTTAACTTTTTGTTTGTAATTTTTTTTTTTTACCATCTCTGCAGCGGAGGAATAAACTGCTGAAATTGCAGATAGACTGTGATAATTGTGTCATGTCGCGTATGCGTGCACACACACACACACAAAAACACACACAAACACACACAAAAAATGATGAAACAAGTAACGCACGTCAGTCCGCAAATATCTGTTATTCCCTGTTGCTTTCTGGTCTTTATAAATTTTAATTGTCAGTGCATGTTCACCATCATTATTATTATTATTATCATTATTATTATTATTATTGTCAATATTAATGGTCATGTGGCTAAGTGCTTAGAACATTTGCTTCCCAACCACGAGACCCGGGTTCAAATCTCACCAAGGTTGCGTTGACAGGAAAGGAGACTTCTTGCTGTTGTTGGCTGGTGGAGGTGATCCCAACATGCGGCACCTTTGAAAAGTGCCTGAAAACCATACGACGGTTAATCCAGGTCTTGTGAGTGAAACCGAGGGTTTTTGAGCGTACTCACCTTGTTCAGACTGTTAATCATACTCTCTCCCAGAAACTGTAACTAAGTTCTGCTCAGTGTAGTTGCAGTATAAACCACAGGTGGGTTTTGTGGGTGTGGAACAAACACGAATGCGCCTGAGCAGGCGTCTGCAATAGGGAGATCAGCACACTCAGATATGAGCGGTCAGCCATTACTACTTACTGTCAATATTATTCTTATCACTGTCGTCATCTATGGAGGGGTACAAGACTTCAACCTGCAGGTGTGGTCGTCATGGACAAATATGAAGAAAAGGCCGAGGTCAAATTCCCATGTACAAGAAAAAAAGAGTTTAAAATATAAAGGACTGGAATAACAATTTGCACAAAGAAAGGAAGCAAAGCGAATGAAACAAACTATTTATTATTTCAGATATATTGTATTAGTTATTTCTTTTGAAAAACAAAACAAAAACAATTTTAACTATTTACATTATTTGATTCTATCAGAAAATAAGAGAAAATAAAACAAGAACATTTTTAGCAACAATGAAAATAAAGACAAAGAAAGAATAAAATGTGACAAAGAAAAGAAAAAAAAACTCCAAAAATGTACAGGTTTTTCACTGTCTCTTTTAAATTACATATTTTGATTATTTTAAAACGTTATTTTCAGTGGATACCCGTATTTGAATAAAAAAAAAGTATGTTGGATTAAAAACATGAAATCAATTAATTCTTTAGAAATGGCTTTGTTTACATTCAAATATGTATTTGAATAAAAATATTTTGGATTAAAAAAATGAAATCCATTAATTCCTTAGAAATAACTTTGTTTACATTCAAATATGTATTTGAATAAAAATATGTTGGATTAAAAAATTAATTCCTTAGAAATGGCTTTCTTTACTTTCAAATATGAATTTGAATAAAAATATGTCAGATTAAAAATAGTATGTCGGATTAAAAAATTATCCATTAATTCCTTAGAAATAGCTTTGTTTACGTTCAAATATATATTTGAATAAAAATATGTTGGATTAAAAAATGAAATCCATTAATTCCTTAGAAATGACTTTGTTTACGTTTCGTATACGGAACAGTAATGAACATTCGAGAAATTCTGAACAAGTAAAATGTGCTTTAAAAAGATAAATAGAACCTTGCTTGATTATGAAGTGGTCAAAACATTCTGGATTAGATGGCGATTTCTCCTGCAAAGGTGGGGATGCAACTTTGAATCCTGCCGGAGGGCACATTTACTTTAGTAATTTTTTTTCGATTGAGCAATCCAGTAGGCGAAATAAAATACTGTTTAAAATAAACAGAGCGTCTACTCTAATACGGGTATCCACTAAAAATAATGTTTAAAATAATAAAAATCTGTTGGATTAAAAAAAATAAAAAATCCATCTCATATATATATATATATATATATATATATATAGTTTTTGCTAAAAATACAGAAGTCAAGTGAAAACTGAAAGGAAAGTAAATTGAAAGAAAAATGTGGATTTTACCTGACAGTGACAAAATAAAAAAAATATGTACTGCCTCTGTCCTGTAATAATTGGTACATTTAGTGTATGAAATATGTAGAAAAATGCAACAACAATTATGGGACAGAAGTTGCATTAATCACTAAGTCCTATAATCGTTGGTACATCTGTTGTATAAAAATCTATATACAAATATCACAACTATTATGGGACAGACATAGCATTAATTAAAATATCTGTCTCATAACAAATGGTACATTTACTGTATGAAATGTGTAGGTAAATGTACCAACAGTTATGGGACAAAGGTAGAATTAATTGCTATGTCCCATAATAGTCAATACAGTTAGTGCATAAAATCTATATGCAAATGTCACAGCTATTATGGGACAGAGGTAGCATTAATTACTATCTCTGTCCAATAAAAAATAGTACATTTAGAGTATGATGCATTTAGGTAAATGTACCAACTATTATGGGACAGAGATAGTATTATCTCTGTCCAATAATATTTGGTACATTTAGTGTATCAAATGTGTATGCAGGTGTCCTAACTATTATGGGACAAGCAGTAAAATGTCAAGTAGACATTAAAATGTGACTTGGCAGAAATTTTTTTTTTCCATGTTCCCTTGCGGCAAAGAAAAAGAAACAGACTTGAAAGAAAAAAGCAAGCCGTGTGTAAATACAAACAGTTCACTTAGGAACTTTGTAGAATTGTCCGTACATATGTATGTATGAGAGTTATTTTGTGTTTCTCCACTTGTCTTTTCTGTAGACTGTTCTAGAACGCTCAACGAGGCATCAATTGAGAAGAATCCCTGAAAAAAGAAATTGTATTTGATAAGAGGAGAAAAAAAAAAAATATTTTCCTTTTTTTTTTTTTTGAAAAATTCCACGCTATGTTTTTGAAAGCTTCAAATTTCATTAAAATCCAAAACCCAGACAAAAATAAAAAAAATTAAAAAAAAATAAATTTTGCTTTTGGTATTTATTTTTTCTTTCAAAATACATTTTTCTTTAATCAGCCTAATTGAAAAAAAAAAAAAAGTATCCATTCATGTATGTCTTTATTTTTTATTTTTTTATTGGTATCACTCCATGCAAGGCAGTAAAGCCACTAAGACGCAACGATTTACAGCATGTAGAAGAATTAGGAATGGAAACATGAGCAGAAAGAAGAAAGAGTAATAAGGGGGATGGTAGATAGCGATTGACATAGCATTTAAATTTTTGCAGATTAAAGATGGCTGGAAAGCACGTAGCCGGAAGGGAGTTCCACAAGTGAGAAAAGAAACTATTAGCTTAGAACTTATGGTTACATCTAGTGAGCTCAACTGTAAATTGGTAAGATCTCCAAACCAATCTAGTACTTTCCTGAAATTCATAAAGTCTAGGTACCCTAGCGAAGAGCTCATTTGAACAATTACCATGAAAGTATTTATAGAAAAGACACAGAGAGGCAACCTTATGGCAGTGAGAAAGTGACTGAAACCGAGGAGCCAGATCAGGATCAATAATATTGCTGAGTCTTCTTTGGATTTTATCAAGGAGCTCGAGGCAAATAGCAGGGGCACCAGACTATAAATGGCAGCAATATTCTAAGTGTGGATGAATGGTAGACTTATGGATATGTAAGATAGATTCATAAGAGAAAAAGTGTCCCACATGACACAGTGAATCAAAAAAAATGTCTCAATTTCCTGTTCTTTATAGCTCTTAATAATTTGTCTTTTTGTTATTTCTTCTAAACCTTGTCCTGCCATCCATTTAGGTTATGCATTGGTTTCCTCTGTCACTTTTGCCTTCAATCTGTCCTGTGAGTATCAAATTTTCCAAGCCCTCTTTCCTCATGTGCCCTAGAAATTTCAACTGTTGTTTCCTGATGTTAAGTATAAATTTCTTTTTTGCTTCCATTTTCTCTAAAACTTTGTTGTTTCTTACATGTTCTATGGTATCCTCAGCATCCTCCTGTAAAACCATGTTTTGCTGCTTCAAGTCTCTTCTTCATCTGTGAGGGAAACTCCATCTCCCCCGACTATGGGTGAAATAGTAGGACTTGTATCTGGAAAAATCATTGTTATTCCCTAAAATTGTTAATTGAAAAAAAAAAATTATTCTTACAATTCAAAATATGTTCCAGCTTTAAATAATCCTCAAAGGGTTGATAAGCCATAAAAAAACAAATCAAACACTCAATACCTTTGTTGGTTGATTCATTAGCTATGAAATACATAATCACTTTCTGAACATGATGAAAAGATTTTTCTAGACGTGATTTTCTACTGTTCAACATTGGTTCTGCCTTGGTTGCTTAACTCATAGTCCATAGCAGAGCAGTGAAATAGTTGAAATTTCTAGCGCACATAACGAGGAAAAAGGGCTTAGAAAATTTGATACTCACAGGACAGATTGAAGGGAAGAAGGACAAAAGACAACAAAGCCTAACCTATCTACCTA